CAAAGATTCAGTAGTAAAAGAGGAGACAACAAGGGCATCACGTTTAACTTTAGAATTTTTCCGCGTGAAAATATCCTATAGGATTAATGCTTTGTTTTTTTTTTAATTTTTTGTTATTATTTTGGATTTACTGATGCAGTCTTTCGGAAGAGACGTGCACTGAATATACGATGGGCTACCTTATTTCAACGTCTGTTGAGACTCGGAAACTAAAGATGCTGTTAAAATGGCCGAATCCTTGTACCGCTTCAGCATTACGTATTGCTGCAATATTTAGTTTAGAAATGCGCTTTCTTAACTTTCAAAACGTGATATACTTCAAAAATGTATATGCTGACTTCCGCGTTAAGAGTTACTAAATATCATTTACCGAAAAAAAAAGTATAATTTAATTAATTATACAAAAATGTTTTAAAAATATACTTAGAGCGATGCACTTCCCAAACCCTGACCGAAGGACTTAACATTAGAAACTATTTAGGAATCTTCCTCTTGGTCAGACTAAGAACCTTTTAGTAGCGACTCGTAAAGACAAGAAATTTCAAAAATATTAATATAGATTTAAGCTAAAAAAAAAAAAAAAATGAAATACCATTATTTATTCCATATGCAATCTTGAAGTAATTATGATGAAACGAAAAAAAAAAAGAAAAGAAAATATATTCGTAATAATCAAGAAGTCTTGATTTAATGAAACCATTTATTAAATTACTAAAGCGAAAAACAGATGATGATTTTTGCTTCTAGATGACGTTAGAAATGAAAATGTTTCATCTCTTTGCGCGTGCCTAATATCTTTAGGGTTGATAGCGCATGCGCATAATAACGTTGAATGAATGCAGCTATGTATCGACTGCCATATTTTATCTTGTCTCTGAGTGTGTATCTGGTTGTACATTCATATACATATAATGGGAAATATGCTCTTATCAACGTTCATGCATCAGAACAGAAGTGAATGTTTATATACGCAGGTCTATAGTTTTGTAGGGGAGATTTAGAAACGAATGTAAACACAAATGCACAGTTTTATAACCAAACAAAACATTTTTTTTGTAAATACTTATCAAAGGTAAAGCGCATTTTTACTCGTTTGCCAAAAAGTGTTTCATTGTAAGGAATATGCATTTCAAAATTTAAATTTCTATATTCATATATTATCCAAGACAACAGAGACAACTATCAGGCTGAAAATGGATTATTGCTACCATGAATTATTTTGAACCCGACAACACCTTTCCCACATTTGAAACGTTGCAAAGCTCTTTATTATTCTATCGCTATTTACATGACATGAATTCTCATTAGCTATATTCCTTGGTCTCACAATTCTGGACCACTGAAACTGCGACCCCCCCACCCCATTCCACGTACATACTGGTAAATCATCTTCATTCCTTTCTAAAGAACTACTGCGTCGTGGAACAGAGACATGGCAGAATAATTTCCCGATCACTACAATCTTAACATCTTTAATTCTAAGGTTAAACATTAGCTTCATTTTTGTATCTTTAAAGAGGTTACAAACAGACAAAGGTGGTACTCGAGTGAAGGAACAGCAACATGCGCGTAGATGAAAGAAGAGAGTTTTATTGTAAAAGAGAATATAGTATTGAAAGACAGAGAATCGGGTGGCAGGCTAACAATTCCTGAAGCAAAGTTATTTACCTTACCTCCCCACGGGATAGTATGTGGCACAAGGCCGTTTTTTAATGCGGGCAAAACAGAGCCCGTAGTCTCAGGCAGAAATTCCCCGGAGACCCCGTATACACGGATTGGGTAGCTTTCTACAACCCCAAACGAGACTCTACCCTTCAGCATAGCCTCGTGTGGATTCCTATCTGCCCGAAGGCAGAGTGTTTGACCAGCAGAGCTGGAGATGAATCTCCAACTAATTCCTGAAGCAAGGTTATTTAACTTACCACACCGCGAGGCAGGATGTGGCAGAAGGGTTTGTTTTTTTTAATGTTTTTACGGGGTCTACGGGGAGTTTTTGCCCGTGCCTCCGGGCTCGGGTTTTCCCCGCATTAAAAACGGAAGTGTGTCACATCCTGCCTCGTGGGGAGGTAAGGTTTATAACCTTGCTTCGGCAATTAGATGAAGATTGGTCTCCAGCTAAGCTAGTCGAACTCTCTGTCTTCGGGCAGAGAGGGACCCAGACATGGCTATGCTGAAGGGCAGAGTCTCATCTGGGTTGGTAGACGCTAACCCGACCCCATTTTTTACGGGTTCTACGGTAATTTGTAGGATGTTGTAGAGAGCCATGATCGTCAATGCCTTGAAAGGGTGTGTCACATAGAAAAAGTGTATTTTTACATCTTACGGCCCGTGGCTAATTTTCTGCGAACAATGTGACCATTCATTTTGAATTTCCGAGGTCTGGCCAGAAACTTGCTTTTGGGACATAATGAAAGCAAACACACGCATGATGGCAGCGAATTAAGTGGGGATCGAAATCAATAAACAGAGAATTTTTTTTTTCATTATATACAATCAGACTAATATCCTCATCTCTGTTCCTATTATCACACTGTATTGAGCCGTCATATCAATTGACTTTTGCAGATACTTTGTCGATCCGAGTAACATTCGGGGAAAATCAGAACCCTTTATTCAATCTACATGAATAGATTGTTCTAATTTCATTGTGTGTATATAGTGTTATCTCAGGATTTAAAATACCTTCTGGAATTCTACGTTTTTCATACTTTTGGTGATATGAAATATTTATTTTTTAATCAATTCCCCCTAAGCAATGTGCTAATGCCACTAATACGCAAGGGGGCTACTGCAATTGAAAGGGAAAAGAAAGATTTTAAAGGAACCGGAAATCTAATTTTTAAAAAGCAAACTGTTATATTCCGTGCTAATAGGAACATATACTTGACAAACTCGGTGGATAGAATAAATAAAGGTTTATTGTAAACACAAATACAATAAGAATAAAGATAACAGTGATGCACAAGTTCGTCACAAGTCAATCCAGTAGTGGGTGCTACTATTGAAAGGTCGGCAGTTCTCGCGTAAGCCCTTCAGCATAGCCTTGTCCGAGTTCCTCTCTGCCCGAAGGCAGAGAGTTCGACAACTGCTAAGAGCTGAGTAACAGATCCCAGCTAGTATATTTACTGTTATGCCATAGTACCTATTCTATTGTAATGGACTCTCCCATAGATAATAAGTAGGAGTAGCAGTGGCAAGTCTGGCAGAATGGTGTTGAGCGCGTCAGTCGAGATTCGGACATTTGAAGTACCAACCATCACAACTAGATTTGCTGCGCCATTGACTCTTATTCTCCAAGTTCCTAACGTTTTGTACGCTGAACCTAATTTAGGACGACTTATTAGAAATACAAGCCTCCACTGTGAAAATACTCCACAACATTTACTAACCTTCCCACGCGATCAGATGTGGCACAAGGCCGGGTTTAATATGGGACATCCAAGCCCGTAGGCTCAGCCAAAAATTCCCGGAGACCCTGTATAAAACGGGGTCGGGTAGCTGTTTCCCGAGACGAGACTCTGCCCTTCGACATAGCCTTGTCTGGGGATCCTCTCTACTCATAGGCAGAGAATTTGACCAGCACAGCTAGAAAAAGATCCCAGCTAGTAATATTCACCAACCTGCCCCTTAGGGTAGGATGTGGCACAAGGCCGAATTTAATTTGGGGCAATCCGAGCCCGTAGGCCCGGCCAAAAATTCCTCGTCAACCTCGCATAAACGCGTTCAGGTCTGTCTACCTCCCCGAACAAGACTCTTTCCTTCGGCATAGTCGTGTCTAGGTTTCTTTCTGTCCGAAGGCAGAGAGTTTAGCAGCACAGCTGCATTAGATTCTAGCGAGTCTTTGTAGTCCGTTGGCTTACAGATATTATAGGTAGTTACCTATAGATATTATAGGTGTATTCACTTATTGGGGTGACAGGTTATTCCATTACATCATAAACAAATCTTTACTCCTGTTTAAAAGACCGGAGAAAAGTTTGAACTGGACGATAGGCGAATCTATCTACTCCTATTGAGGAAAAAAACTAACTAAATAGTAATTGAAATTTCAGAGTTTTGGAACTGACATTAGACTATATAATTATCTAGAAATATATTTCTTACGTTGATAGGTGCAAGATACGAGTTTACTTCTGTCAATAAATATTGTATAAAAATGTAATTACACATTAAATAAAATCTCCTTCACAGCATGCGATGGTATCTTGAAGAGTTTGTAAAGTATGTGAGGAAAAATAACTAAAGCTTCTGCTGCGGTTGCAGATTTGGGTCGGATAAAGAAAAGAAGTGAAAAGCAAATAATCAAAATCCATTGTGCACCTTCCCTTGAGTAAATCCACACAGCATTTCTACAAGTTCAGACAATATCCGACGAAGATTTTGTCCATTTAAGTTTTCTTTTCTTTTCTTTTTGTTAATAAATGTCTTTTGTTTAAGTGCAAAAAAACAAGAAATCAAGCTTACGGCCACATCACCTTGAAAAACAGATCAACGAAGATAAGGAACGACGTGCTTGGCGATTATCTAGATGGGTGACCAGTTGTTGTAAAGTGTGATATGCAGGTCGTGTAATAGATGTCTCCGAATTGTCACCGAGTGCTGTGTTCCAATTCTAGTGTGGGTCGTTATATTCACTTGCGCACAAATACCCTCATTGAAATGTATGAATCCAACACTTCTACCCCTGAACAATAGGTGAATCAATAGGATTTGTATCAGAAAAATTATTATCCCCCTAAAAAAGTTTTATAATTTAAGAGTGTTTTCTGGCTTTATATAGCCTGTAAAAGGGTGATAAACTATAAAAAATACAATCAATCCTGTGCTTATTTTCATATAATTTTCATAACATTCCAATTCTTCTTTTTCTTTTTCAATTTTTTTTCGTCTTTCTTTCCTGTTTTAATCATTTTCTTTCTTTTCTTGCTTTCTTGTGTTTTTTTTTTATTTATTTCTCTTTTCTTCTCTTATTCGTATTGTCTTTTTTAAAATTTCTTCTCATGTTTTTATCCGATTCCGTTTGTTTTCTTTTACATTTTTCCCCTTCTTTTCCTTCATTTATTCTCATTTTCCTATTCACCATTTTTCTCCTTTCTTCCTTTCCTTTTTCGTTTTCACATTTTCATTTTATTTCGCATTCTTTCTTTTCTTTCTTCGTTCTTTTATTTCTTTCGCCATTCTTCTCTCTATTTGACCTTTTCCTCTTTCGTTTATTGTTCTTTTCTTCTTCTTTTTTTTACATTATTTTCTTTTTTCCCCACATTAATTTCTTAATTTCCTGTCTTCGTCTTTCGCCTATCGTTTTCTCCTTTTTCTCCCTCTTCTGCCTTTACTTATTTTGCTCCCCTTTCTTATCTATTACACGACCTGCACATCACACTTTACAACAACTGGTATTCCTAAGCGGTCACCCATCTAGATAATCGCCAAGCACGTCGTTCCTTATCTTCGATGATCTGTTTTTCAAGGTGATGTGGCCGTAAGCTTGATTTCTTGTTTTTCTTCCATTCACGCTGTCCAATTCCTCTTTCTCTTCCCGTATTTCTCTCTCTCTCTCTCTTTCTCTTTCTCTCTTTCTCTTTCGTTCTCTTTTATCTTCATTAATTTTCTTCTTTTTCTATATTTTCTTCATTTTCTCTTTCTTTTCCCTTTTTATTTTCTTCTTTTTCCTATAATTTTCCTCCTCTTTCCCCCCCCCCATTCATTTCTCCCCCTCCTTGCCCAGTTCTTTTCTCTTATCCATTTTTAACTCTATTCTTCAGAGGTTTCATTAGTAATTTTTTCGTCTTCTTTGCTTTCTTCTTCTATAATTTCAATTATTTTATTCTTTTATGCATTCAAATTTTCTCGACGTCCGGACATAATCGACATTTCTACTTCCATTCACGCTGTCCAATTCCAAATCATTTCTTAATTTCTAAGAAATTATTTTATGCAAATATTATTAATCATTTACATTTCCTCTACTTCATATTTGATTACAGAAATAATTCTAAATGTTTGTTTCATTTACCCTAAAGAATCTGAAAAGGTTTTCATACGAGCAGAGCTATCTTTCGATTTGAAATATAGTTGGGATTTGGTTTATTACAGAAGAGTACTCCTATATGGGGTCATAAGCATTAACAGTGCATCGTGACAGTCCCGTTCTTAAATGCAATCGTTAAAACACTTATATATATTTTTATAACCTCTGTATCTTAAACAGAAGACTTTTCTCTCATAAATGTATAATGTCATCCTATATAAATTAGGATAGATTGAATTTTCTCCTTTTAGAAAATCAGCATTGCACTCCACGATATGATAAATACTGACAACAAAAGTGAGATTCATATAACTTATCAAATTTTGTGCATTTAGTTTCAAAATCGTCTTAAAAATATACAGAAATACCTAATGTCTGCAGGTTTTTGCTTACAAACTGACATCAAAAGTTTCCTATTTCAAAAATAAATCGAAATAAAGTTGATATATTTTCTACTGAGTAGAAGATATATTCAAACCAGAATTCTAATGATGAATCATCACAATCAAAATATGCAATAGTTTTGCTGTATTCGATGAGTAAAAAACTTTGTCAAAAAACAAATAACAAAAAAAAAACTGTAAAATTTCAAAAAAGGCGACTCATTGAATAAGATTTGTTAAATCATTTATTTGAACGTAATTAATTAAAAACAACAAAAATAAATAGATAAAGCTTATATATCATTATATTACTGCTGCGCACAAATTATAAAACTAAAATGTTTTAAATTTGTACTGTTTATTTATAACCAAACTAAAACAACTACACTGTATAATATAGCTAAATTGTTAAGTCTAATTTCAATTACATGTAAATGAAGGTTTTATTTGACATCACAGTGATTTATTAATAATGTGTTTGTGCCATGCATTTTGTCCATATACAGTTTGTAAAGCTTCAGTAAATTACAATTTTATAAGGCGTGGCAAAAAGGCACCGGAATTCAATTCAAATACTACGATGTTGAACCTGAAATTAATATTTAAGCCCATTTCATAAAAAAAAACTCCAACATTCAAACTGAGTGCAATACTATGGTCCCAAATCGACGAACAGGTCGATTATATATATATATATATATATATATATATATATATATATATATATATATATATATATATATAAATATTTGATGAAAAAAACAGACCACTTTAAGGTACCATTACAATAATTTATTTCACCAAAATCCTTTTAAAGGACTCGGATCATCAGATAACATTTTCAACAACGAAATGAAAGAAAAACCTATATATGTATATATATATGTATATATATATATATATATATATATATATATATATATATATATATATATATATATATATATATATATATATATATAATGTGTGTGTGTGTGGGTGATACGTCTTTTTATTAAATTTGTTATGTCTGGTATTGTATAAGAGATGTCTCAATATGATATAGTTTAATTTTAATCTTTAATCACACTGTCTGATCTATTATCTTTTATATACCTCTCAGGAGAATTCCAAAGAATAGCATCTTCAGAGCCTACTGGGATTGCGTCAGGTGATATTCCTAGCATTTTAAGCGTGTAATGCACTGTTGTTGTTGTTGTTGTTGCTGTTATTATTATTATTATTATTATTATTATTAATAATAATAATATGCAATTTCTTCATATCTTACATCTTTTATTGCTGGTTTTTTTTTCATTTTTCTTTTTTGTTTGTTTTCCTTCCGTTTGATTTTAAATGATTTTCCGCTGAATTTTACTTCATTTTCATTCATGTTTTCCTTCTTTTCTTTCATTTATTGCATCTTCATTCTCCCATTCGTCGTAGTCATCGTTTTCCTTTTTTTTTCTTCAGTTTCTTATCTTCTTCTTCTTCTTCTTCTTCTTCTTATTATTATTATTATTATTACACTAATTGCTTCATCTTCTTCTCGTTATTATTATCACCTTAATTTTTCTTCTTCTTCTTCTTCTTCTTCTTCTTCTTCTTCTTCTTCTTCTTCTTCTTCTTCTCTGATCTTCCCCTTCTTCTTGACTTCTGTTTCGTTCTCGTGTAGTACCTCTTCTTCTCTGCTTCACATTCTTTTTCTTGTTCTTATACTACTGCCACTACTACTATTACTCAGCCTTTTCTTACACTAACGCTTCATCTCTTTTACTCTCCCTCCTCTTCCTCCTCGTCTTCTTCATTGCATTACTGATTTTGAAATTATCAAACAACCCCTTCCAGCAAATTTCTTCTTATTTATTTCTCTTCATGTGACTATCCGTTTTTAATGTTATTTATTGGTATCTGTAACTACCAAAAATTGCTTTACTCCGCTTCATATTTTTTCTTCTAATTTTACTAACTCGCGATGAAATTATTATCTATTCCTATCATGATTTCGTCTTCCTTTTTATTGCTACTACTACTACTACTACTACTAATGCTAGTACTAATACTAATACTGCTGCTGCTACTAATACTACGGCTAATTCTTCTACAATACTTCACTTGTTTCTCTTCCTCATTTTTACATATCCCTTTCTTCAAACGTATGTCTTTCCATACAATTTTTCCTTAACGTCTTCGTTCTCTAACATCTTTCACCGCCATTCAGAATCTAATTTACTATTTCATCATTTTCCGCGCGCTGCCGTCTATTCAATTACCTACAATTCAATCTTCGGCTGCCTACATTCCGATCAACTATTACCCGAACAAAAATATATATATATATATATATATATATATATATATATATATATATATATATATATATATATATGCCATCAGCCTCCGGAGAATTAACAAATATTCTCCCAAGGCGACGTTTAGTATGCACAAGTGTAAAATACTTTAGCTGCACACCAATAAATCTACAAAACAAATCACACACACAAATAGCCTAGCCTACAGACACACACACACACACCCATAAAACATAACACACACACACACACACACACACACACATATATATATATATATATATATATATATATATATATATATATATATATATATATATATAAACAGAGACATGCACACAAAACACATATACACATATAGATATAATCACACAGGCACAGCGATACGCGCAAACACAAATATATACACTCTCAGACATACACGTACATATGTACACACACAGTCACACACAAACACTCACACACATACACACACACATTTATATGTATGTGTGTAAATACATACATATATGCGTACGTACACAGACATACACAGTGACAGCGACAGTGATATATATACACATACATTCACAAATATACACACGCCAACACAAGCACATACACAAACACATCCACAAACATCACAGACACACAAAAATACATAGATACACGCAAACAGATTTAAAAAAAAAAAAAACAACAAAAAAAATCACAATTCGCTTCACAACATTGCCACGTTGGTAACTCGGACCACTCTGTGGTAACCATTCCTATTTCATTCTAATCAGCTATTAAACAGACCCCCTTATCCCTAAGACCTCTTTCCGTTACCAGCATGCTCACTGGGACTCACTTCGTGATCCAACTTGGCTTGCCGAAGGGCAGAGTCTCGTTTGGGGTGGTTGACTGCCCCTGAACCCGTTTATGCGGGTTCAAAGAGGGAATAATTTTAGCTGAGACTACGGACTCGGAGTTAAACCCGGCCTTGTGCCACATATAACCCTCGTGGGGGGGTAGCTAAATATCACTTCATGATTTTCTTCGTGGCTCGTTCCGCCTTCTTGGGTTCACGCTCCTTGGTTGACAGGAAGTGGAAAGACTATATTGTATCCATTGCTAGGTCAGCTGCTAAGAATGTCGGTTCACTGTGCCGGGCGAAACAATTTTTCACTCCGGAATCTATCTTACATATCTGTAAGTCTCCCATTCGTCCATGCCTAGAATATTACTGCCACATATGGTCCGGTGCCCTTGCTATTTATCTTGAGTTCTTAGATAACATCCAAAGAAGAATCAGTAATATTATTAGTCCTGATCTGGCAGCTCGGCTTCCTTCACTTTTTTTTTTTACCACGGTAAAGTTGCCTCTATATGTCTTTTCTATAAATAACTTTATGTTAATTGTTCTAATGAGCTCTTCGCTACGCTACCTAGTCTAACGTCGAGATCTCAATTTATTTTGAGCTGGCTAGATGTAGCCGTAAGTTCTATGCTAACAGTTTCTTTTCTCGCACTTCTCCTTTGTGCAACTCCCTTCCGATTCCATACTTTCCAACCAACTTTAATCTGCAAAAGTTTAAATGCAATGTCAATCGCTATCTAATGTTCTCCTGATTAAACTTTCCTCTTCCTGCTCATTATTAATGTTTCTGTTCCTAAATTTTCCACGCACTGCAATATCCCGTGTTTAAGTGGTTTTACTGCATTGAATGAAGTGATACCGTTTAAAAAATATTACACATTAGTAAATAAAGTGTCCAAATGTGCGGCTGGTGTAGTAGATAACAGCTCTGAATTTGAGATGGGAGCGTTGAGTTCCAATTCAAATCAGATACGTTACATTCACTTACGCGCAAATAATCTTAGAAAATATATGAATCCAACATTTCTCCCCCAGCTATGAGTTAATTAGGAGAAATTGTAGAAATAAATCTTTATTGTCTAAAAATATTCTTACTAATTTTATTTATATAAGTTTATATAACTTCCATGTGAGTTGATATTCCATAAAAAAAAATCGTTCAATATCGTGTCCGGTCTGAACTTACATAAACGGTATTTGGAATAA